ACCTGCCTGGGCTGCTGCTCCAGCCAGCCGTGGTTACAGACAGAGCTGCATCTTATGGAAATCACATGCAACTTTAGTGCAGGCAGCTTTACAGAGGGGTCTCTGCATAGTTATATGCTAATACGATGCCTTAAAGGTTCATTAATCTGAAGTAACACCATACTTGCAATCATAAGGCAGTTATGCATCTTTTTTTTTGACACACAGAAGAAACTATGCTCTGAATTTTCATCAGGAACACATTAATACACATCCAGGTGGATTTTAAGTAGGAATCTGAGGATAAATTAATCAAGGTCAGCATTCCTAATTGTTAGAACACAACTATTTTTCTTTTTTTTTTCCCCAAAGAAACAAAATTACTGCTTTACAGCAATACCTGATAGCATCCCCTCATCTTTTATTCTTAAGAGAAATACATCAACTAACATAGCTGAAAAACTCATGCCATACTGCCATTCATTATAAATGACTCCCATACACATATCATCACTTTGCATATAGAGACTCCAGAAGCAAAAGTGAATTGTGAAGCCATGAGCGTGCATTATATATCCTTCACTGATGGAAGAAAAATTAATGCTAATCATCATTACTGTGCCCTTATGCATTATTGCATTTCTCAGATATGTAAAAATATATTTTTAATAGCATCATAATGTAGATAACCTTATTTTGAGCCCCCTCCAAAGCCCACATCAAAAACCTGAAATGAACAAACAGAAATAAAAAGCCTAAAAGATAAAAAAAATAAATAAAACTACAAAATTATTTTATTTTAATTAATTCAACAGAATTCAACACAAAGAAAAGCATCTTATAAAAAGGTGTTAGGTAAGATTAAAAAAAAGAATTCTTAAGTGACATTTTCAGCTTCAGTAAATTTCTCTAAAGGAATAGATCTAATGAGATGGTACCATTTTAGAATAGACTTTGCAAAGCACTGAACTAACTTTTTAAAATAAGATGTTCATAATCGTTCACTACCAGCAATTACTCCTTTAATATAGCCAGTCATAATATGCACCTGATATGCCAAAGAAATGAATAAACTAATATTTTAAGAGGGGCAGCATAAATATGCAAATATATACAATCTTTAAAGATGTGGATACGTAGATGTCATGTTTCAGTCCTATCATCAAGTTGTTAATTTTCCTAAAACACTGGAGCATACATCCTAAAATACCTAATAAGTGTAATTGCTCCATATATGCCATTAAAATATTATACCTTATTATCTCTATCACAACATAATCAGCATGTAAAATTACACATTCTCTTCTGATGAGATAACTCTAGTTCTCCTGAGAGCACAACACCAATGTAGTTATTCCCTCTTGCACGCAATTAAAATTCTACTATAGAACAGCATATGAGATATTTAAATGAAAATTTTCAATATTGAAAACCTGAACTTCCTCTTCTGAAGCCCAAATGCAGATGTTTGAGTATAAATTTTGAGAACATTGCACTATTTTCTACAGTTTGGCCTAGTATACTTCTATAATTTCATTATGGAATTACTATTAATGCAAGAAAACATTGTTTATGATGGTACTTAGGTCAAGCTATATATTAGTAAACATTAATATCTTCCTTTCAGTATGTTAAAAAACTTGTCATACTCCTTTAACATGCTGTTTAAGAAATGTTCCTTCAAGATCTGAAATTATTTGCTATTATATCTATTTAGAATTAATTACTCCAAATAAATCTGTGCAAAGTGAAGGAAATAAGTCATCTCTTTTACTTTTTCTCAAAGCAATAAGGTAAGAACTAATACAAACCCATGGTGCAGTAACTATTTGTAACCTAAGTGCAGCTCACCCATTCATAAACAGAACACTGACTTCAGAGCTAGATGGTAAGATCTGACTGGTTTTTTTCACTGAGTTTGAAAAATGACAATTACAAATACCATTATTATTACTATTACATAAAGAGTAACATACAGAAAATTAGATTATTCATTTCCCTGGCTGTATCCCTTACTAAATTAAGATGGGTAAACTAGTTTGCAAGTGATACGTTTTGGCATTGACTCTCTTTATACAGACTAAAAAATGACTGCTGAAGTTTAGCATTTAACCTAGTAACATTAAATAAATCTCTAGGTTGATCTTTGAAAAGACAGTTAGGTCATACACAAATCAAACAGTGCTTCAGAGATCACTGCTGCGACTCTGCCTTTTGCATTCAAAATGTTAAATCAGTGTTCATCAGTTTATAAGAAGACAAAATACTTTCCCCCTAACTTGGATAACAAGAGAGCTGCTCTGATTAGAGCTTTCTGTAACGCGCTGGATGAAAAGAAGATTTTTTTTATTAAAAAAAAAATCAACTTGTGGTATCTGGAAAAATGTGCATCATAGGCCAAAGTTATGACAGATGACTGCCTGCCCGTAAACCCAGCCTCTCTATATGCCAGGAAGGATTCCCTCTGAGCCTGGGTGAGCCGAAGAGCATCAGCTTTCAGGTTCCTGCTTTGAACTACGCCTAGACCCAATGACATGTCTACACTGTGGGTTAGACATGTTCCAAATCCAGCTTTGCCTGTGTTCATACTATTTCTGGGCAAGGATGCCCAAGCTCTGTGGCTCACTGGCAACATTGCTTAAAACTTCTCAATTCCTAACAGCCCAGATGCTTACGCACATGAACTGGACAGCTTAGACCTGAGCAGGGTCACCAGGCTCAGTCCTCCATCAGCAAGAACACATGCTTTGAGCCTGTGGCACAGCCAAGCCAAGTTGCCTGCAGTTTTCATAGAAGCTTGCCAAGCTCTTGGGCAGTACCTGAACTTCCAAACCACCAAGCAAGGACTTTGAGTTTCAGAGACAGATACCAGGAATCTGGCCCAAAGTGGCAGGCCCTGGGAACCAGTCAGGCTCTGCTAACAATGGTGATGCTCACAAGACCGACAAACTGCGGCTCCAGGAGGACACATTCCTTCAAAAACACCACGTCTGCAACATTTCAAAAAACCTGACATTTCTGGTGAACTGAAAGACTCAGTCTGTGGCCAGATCTAGTCCCTACGTGATACTTCCCACAAAGTACAGGCTTTCTTACGCTCCCTCCCTGTGTATGTCCCTGAAGATTTCTCTGTGGCAATCCACGAAAACAAAAACCCACTCCCCTGCACTGCTGAGCATGCTCTTTTCTCCTTTTGACAGGGCATGGTCTTTCAGATCGGAGCTCAACTAGGCTGTAGACACAGACTATTACACTTGAGTTTGGAGACGCAAGATAAACTGGCTTGTTATGGGGGAAATACAAAGAACCAAGCCCATCCAGTGAGCTCCTCTGCTTCCCTGTTTTTTTCATACACAGCTTCAAAGTTCTTCGGTGAACAAAAACTGCTATGCTTTACTGTTAAGGCTCTAACAGGGCAATTAGCAGAAGATAATCTACTATCCCTAAGATGCAGTTGATGAACTTCCATTAAAGTCAGTAGTGCTGACAATCATGTATGAAGAAGTAGCTACAAGTCTACTAAGTATCTGGCTGTGCACAGCAAATGAAAACACAGTGAACTTTATTGAATGTGCTGGTTAGATACAGTAGTACTTTCTCTTTCTGCTCTGAATAAAATGAAACATAACCAGAAATCAGAAACAGATTTGGAAAATAACTAGCATTGTTACAGTTTTCTACAAATCTGAGAAATCAGTCCTATACATGCAACTCACTAATAATGATTCTTATACCCAAAACAATCATATCTTTACATACAGCTACCTTAATGAAGGAAAACACCACTTCAAAATTTAAAGAAATAATCTATTTTATTGTGAGTATAAAAAATAAATACTCCACTAAGGAATGGAAGAAAAAATAAAGCACATTTAAATAATTTCATTACATTCTAAGATGCCAAATCATCTGTGAGTGGTTTCTTTTTAGATGAAAAGAAATCAAAATATAGGACAGATGTTGGACAAACCACATTTGAGTCTATCACACACTGGCATTTTTCAAATTATTTTGGCTCATCTATTACATAAGGTGTATTTTGCTTGATTTTGAAAAGGGAAACATCAGGAAATATTTAAAGGCCAATTGCTGCCAATTAACTTTGATCAGCAAAAGTTGCATTTGAATCTTTTAGATTCTTTTGCCTGTCTGGAATAACACACTATTCTAAAATCTTGCAAAACAACAACTTGATGATTAATGTGTGTTGGCAGCCCCACCACAAGCTTGCTTAACAGTTGGATTTTAAATAAACATCTGTCTTCGTTATGATGGGAAAGAAATCTGACTGTTTTCATGTTTTCCTGTTATTAAAATATGATCAGAAATTGTTTTTTTCCCTTTTAAGATGAAACAGCCAGGCATTATGGTGACAGTCTCTTTCAGCAGTTCAGATAGTTTTAGAACGCTCTCACAAGCGTCGCCAAACCATAGCCTACGCAAGCTGCACAAGCCCTTGGCGTGCCAACGCCAGCTCCTCGCTGCACGCCGCGGGGGAGAGGCAGAGAAACCCTAGTGCATAACAAATCGTACCTGCTGCTGGGGAAGGCAGAAGATCCCCAGTAATAGGCCACTGAGATAGACAGCAAATACAACATTAATGATTTCCCTCAGGTTTAAGGTAATAAGTGCCCACAGTAGGATGTAAGTGAGAAATCTGTACCCAGACATTAACTGCTTATAGAAGCTGAAGTTTAATATTTAACAGCCTGCGCAGACTATTGAATTCTAATGCTTATAGATGCTTTTGGTGTATCCACTTCTAAAACTTGTCTACTGTGGTCACAAATCTAAGACCTGTGAGGACAAAACCCTACCATTTAGATTATTGTAACCTTTGAATGCCAGTGCAGACATTTAGTGTAGATACTATTATATATCCTAATGATTAAACAGATATTTTCTAAACATTTCCATATTAAAACTGTGAAACCAAAAATAATTGTCAAACCATCTAACAACACATCAAAAGAGACAAATATTAAATCACCTCTATGTGTTTTCAAAGCATGAACACTTACTTCTAAATCGTTAAAGAATAGATGTGTGTCCGCCAAATTGAAAATCATCTCTTCCATTCGGAGTCCAAGAGACACAGAGGTCGGTGGATCCTTAAAGAAGACATTAAGCGAGTATACCATCAATACCATGACAAACATACATACATACAAACTGGAGGAATTGCTTTTCAGGAGAGATTATTTGATGTATTAAATACAACATTCACTTGTTCAGTTTAACTTCAGCACCTCTCTAATCCTGTACTGTAACACTTAGCAGTAACACTCAAAAATATGACTTTAACTCGACTGATAAGTATGATTCTGCAGTGGGACCTCTGTGGTCACCCTCGTGAATCCCTGGCATGAACTCTCCGCGCTCTGTGCAGAAAAGGCAAAACCATTTCACCTAAAACGTCTCCAGATTTTACAAGTGTTCACAAGTTCATGATCAACCAGTAGCACAACAATGCTACTGTTATTCAAAATAAACTCTCACTGGTCACAAGTGAAAGGATTTGGTCCTGGGAATACCTAGTGACTTTAAAGCAAATCACCATTAATGTTATATTTGTAAATGGCAATTACATTTAAAACCACTCCTTGATTCTCCACAAAACCATGCTTTAATTATGCTTTCAGTTTGGCCCACCCATACAGAGTGAACAAATCTATTGTTTGTTATTAATACATAACACACTTTAACTTCTCTACAGAAATTACCATAACAACTTATTCCTTACTGAGCTAATAAACTCAAAAAGCATGTTCAGCATTGTGGTTACCAAATGCATTACAGATGTTTGTCTTGTTTTGATTTTTTTGTGTCTTATATATTTTCAATCTGAAAAATCGAAAAGAAAGCCTAATATATACAGTTGGTATAGAGTTTCTCATTTATAATCCCAAGTATATCCAAGCGCACAGAAGCATGAGTTTGAAAGAACATGTTATATTATCTCATGACACCCTCTATTAACAATGTTAGTTTGTTTGGAATTATATTTTAAATAGAACTGCAGAAGTAACAACCCATATTTTACTTAAAATCAGTTAATATTCTAAACTTGATGACAACTCAAAGTTAAAAACCAAGAGATGTAGTCCCTAGATTCTTTTTACACCTCTCAATCAAATTAATAGGTGTTTCAACATGATCTCTGAACTTTCAAACATTTTTCTATAACTACTGGTTAAAAGGCAAAATGTCTCAGTAGCAAAGGGTTGTAAAAGAATGGTGATTTGGCAGCTTGTTTGCCTTCTGGAAATGCCAAAACCTGAGTAAAACTAATCAGAAAAAGAATTTTAGAAAGAAGCATTTAGAAACAAAGCTACATAGAAAAGACAAAACATCTATGTTTGAACCGTTTGAACCACATACGCTACACTAAATAAGTTTTCTAGTATCAAAAAATAGCCCTTATAAGTGGGAAAGAAAACTTGCATCATCCTATTTGGACAAACTTTGCCCTTAAAAATAAGCTTTCTATTTAAACTGGCACTGCCAAAAAAAAGAATATTTGGCTTCTTAATTCAAATGGAAAGACTTTAAAATATGAACAAAAGTATTCTGCTTCTCTGTTTTAATATGGCTCTATTTGTAGAACTACGTCTTCCTTTATTTTACTTTTGTACACATGTGAGGTGGAAAGCAGGTGATACTTTCTCTCTAGCTAGGCCTGAGGCTACTT